CGCGGGGCCCGCCCGCCAGCCCCGGCCCCTTCGCCACCCGCTCGCCGCTCTTCATCTTCGTGCGGAGGTCGCCGCTGCTGCCGCGCTCCTCCAGCGGGTACTTCTCGTTCGAAGCCGAGCGCAGCCCCGCGCCCCTGGGCTGCGACAAGGCCACGCAGACCCCCAGCCCGCCCTGCCAGGCGCTCAGCCACTGCCTCAGCGCCATGGGTAAGCTCTGGGGCGCGGCTCCCCATCCTCCTCCTCCTCCTTCTCGCCCGCTCTCCTCGTCTGGCTCGGCTTCCTTTGACTCCCCCTCTTCACCTGGTGTGGCTTCCCTCGCTCCCCCTCCTCACCCGGCTCGGCTTCCCCGGGAGCCGCGGAAAACTCGTGTTGTGGGAGGGGTGTGTGAAGGTGCGAGTGCAGAAATGTGTGGGGATGCGAATACACCGTGCGAGGGGGAGAGGTTAAGGGCACGAAGGRTCCTGCTCCTCACGTGGCTGGGCTTTCCTCACCTTCCCCTCTTCACCTGGCTTGGCTTTCCTCGACACCGAGGAAAACACGGATTCTCCTGGGGCTGCGTGACCTGCTAGTGTTTGTGTACAAGTGTGAGTGCAGGAGGGGTGTGTGAAGCTGTGAGCACGCAGTGCCAGCGTGTTGTAGGCACATGAGGGATCCTGCTCCTCGCCAGCCTTGGCTGGGAATCATGGAAAACGCAGGTAGCCATGCGAGGCACCTGCAGCAGCACCTCCCGCATCCCACCCGGTGGATTTTGGGAGCACCCGTGCCGCGGGCGGGAGGCTCTCCCGGCGCTCTGGGATTTGTGGAAGCTGGCTGGGTCCGCCAAGCAAACACAGCGCTGGGGAACTCCCGCGCGTCCAGCGCCCGGCTTTTTATTACTATGATGTTTATTCTTTTCCGGGCTCGGTCAGCCGCTGCCAGGGGAGGAGGGGACGGAGTTGTTGAGTCCAGCTTCCTACTCAGGGCTCGCTCGTCCAAGGCTGTTTTGCCAAGCGAGTGGCTCCTGGCTCGTGCGGCGCTGCCGGCTCTCTCATCGCTCGGTGGTGGAGGTGCTGGGGTCATGCGTCCCGAAATCCCGCTGGGAAGCGGCCCGGAGGCGGGCGGGGGCGTGTTTACAAGTGGCTTTGCCAGGTGAGGCTGGGCTCAAGCCTCTCCAGCCGGGAAAACCTGCCCGCGGGGGCTGCCTGCGTGTCCAGCATTCCGCTYTCCTGATGAATTCCCTCGAATTAGGGGAAACCTTTGAACTTCCACCTTTTAGCTTCCACCAGGGCACGGTTGGAGTGAGGCATGGGGATAAAAACCACCAATTCCAGACTTTCTGGGCTCTAAACACCATCTTTTTTGGTTGATGGTGTTTTTGCTCCCTCCCGGCTCTGGGCTGTGGCTCTGGCTGCGGAGGCCTGGCTGTAACGTGCCCTTAGGAAAGATTTTGTGACATTATTGCAGTAATTACAGCTTAATTCTAGTTTCACAACCTCTCCCTGGCAYGGCCAGGCAGAGATGCTCCTGGAGCTCCTCACGGGAGAGGCGAGGCTTCAGATTCTTTTTTCYGGGAAGAAATTGACGTTTCCCTGATTTTTTTCCAAGTTCGTGCATTCTCATCAGCTGTTTCACTGGAGCCTTTGCTCTGTGACTGTTGCTAAGGGCATCATCCTAAACAACTATAAGCAAATGGAAAATCCTCAGCGCAGTTAACCAGGACCCCTGGATACTCCCAGGATGGATTAAGCTGGGAACATGGAGCTACAGAGCTGTTTTATCCCCACCCAGGCCTGCAGCTCCCAGGCTGTGACTTCCCAAGCAGCTCTCCTTGGGAAATACCCATGKCTCTGCCCTGCACACCTCCTCCTTGATCCCAGTGCCTTGGCAGTGTCCTACCGGATGCATTTTCTGCATGGAAGTGGGTCAGTCCCTCGGGAAGGAAACAAAGSGAATATTTTTGTTGTGCTTTTACCCACTGATTTTATCTGTTGTGAGCAGAGGCTGCAAGGTGGAGGGTTTCTCTCAGAAGYATAAGCAATAATAATAATAATTATTATTAAAATAAACAGGCTTTTCCTGCGAGCAGGAGCGACGGATGCTCCCGGCCACTCCTACAGGCAGTGGGGAACTGCTCCAAGGCTGCTCCAKCATAGCAAACTCATGCTCTGCCTCAAATGTCCCTCTCTAAATCCCATAAAACCTTCCCCAAATGTTTCGATGAGGGAGCAAAAATGTGGAGGCAGCCCTTGGGAATGCGTTGGGTTGTGCAAAGAGGAGTTGTTGGTGTGGATGTTTTGGGAAGTGATGCTTTGGGCTGTGCTGTCTTTCTGATARTCTAGATAGAGGGGGCATATCCAGCTGCTTCCAACACCATTTTTTTGGGGAAATGGGATAAAAGCAGCAAGGGCGTGCTCTGGGATAGGAGGGAGGAAGGATTGCAGTGYGAGCCTGGCATATCTGGGAAGATGCTTTTGGGGATGGGAAGGAGAGGAGCAGGGGAGAGTTGATTTGGTTGTGCTGGGAGAAGAGGCTGATCCTTCTTTTTGGGGAAGAGGTTGGCAGGGATGAGGAATTCCCAGCTGGGAGTGTAAGTGACCCACGATAAACTCACCCTTTGTGGAGGGSTGTTGGGTGACTCTGTGGCTGGAATCTTCTGTCTCTCTGTGGGAGAGGTTCCCTTCTTTCCGTCGGATTTTCGATCTGAAGGCACGCAGGTTTTGGGAATGTGTCTGGAACAGGTACTCTGTGAATGGGTTTTCCCRGTGCTAGTTTGATCCCGATGTGTATTCTCATGGCGTGGAGAAGCAGCATGAACCTCCTGTTGCTCTCAAAGTAGATTCTCCATGTGCAAATAGTTGGATTTAAGGGGGAATCCACGAGTTGGGAATCTGCTGGTGGTGTCCTGATCCCTTGTTTTGGAACCGCTGCCACTTTCTCCCAGCTCTCCAAGATTTCCTTCAGTGGGGRTGGATCACCAACCCAGGAGCTGAAGTTGCAATTTGAAGTTGGTTTTTTTGCCCTGCTGAGCCGGGGCTGCAGCAATTCCACGCTGGAGCTTCCCGCGGTCTGGAGGCAGACGCGGCATCCCGAGGGTGCCGGTGTCCCCGGATAGTCCCCGTGCCCGGGGCAGCCGTGTCACCCTCGGTGGCAGGCGCTGGCTCGCGCTATGACTGTGTCCCCCCGCCCCCGAAAGCGCCTGTGACTGGTTTGGGGACCAGTTATGACTGGCCCCTTTCGCCGCCGCCGCTCGGCAGCGCCGCAGAAAGTCCTTTCTGAAAACCTCAGCCCGATTTCGCTCTCAGCCACCGAGCCCAGCCCGCGGCTCTCGGGCGTAGGAGCCCGTGGGCGCGATGCCGGGCCGGGAGGAGGGATGGAGAAGGGGGTGAAGGATGGAGCGGGAGCAGCGCCGCTCCCCCGCGTGGTTTTCCTCACGTCCCCGGCGCTCCTCGCCTCTTCCTGCCCCGGCTCGCCGCGTGTTTTTGTTTCCCTGGCTGGGCCGGCCCTGCTGACGGCGGCGCTGGGATTTGGGATGGTCGCTCCGCCCAGGCCGAATCCCGTTTGGCTTCCCGGAGGATCCCGGCTGGAGGGAGGATCGCGAGCGCCGCGCGTGGTTCATTCACGGGCGAGGAGGAGGAGAAGCGCTCGGGGCAGGCGGCGGGCGCTGCTCCTGCGCTACTACAGCGTGAAAACAAAACACATCCTC